CTGTAAACACCCGCCAGCCAAATATGTGCCAATCAGCCCGGTAGAGTTCCCCCAATTTATCTGCTTTTTGGTTGGTTAAATCTCGCCTTGTGATAAGTCTAGTTGGTTTGGACAAGGCGGCGAGGGGGTGCGGTAAACCACCAGCCAAACACCTGCTAAATGGCTGTTAGAAATTCAGGGTTCTCGGCTTTTCCATTGGTTAAAAGTTCGATTTGTAGCGAGTGTAGTTGATTCAGACAATGTGACCAGAGGATGCGATTAAAAACGTTTGACCCATTCCCATTCTGCCCTTAAGAAGGTTGCAACTGGGAGGGGGGGGTTGTAGGAACTTGTGTATTCCAACTCCAGAAGGTTCAACAATGATATCCAAAGCACTATCATTGTTGTTGTTGCAATTTAACAATAAACAGTCACAGAAGCCGCTGTAGCACATCATCTTCCTCAACTTGCCCTCCAGCTCCCAAGTTGTCTATGGACGCCCAAGCTAGTCGAATTTGTAGCTCTCCTTGCCACTCTTTACCTACACCATAATGATTTCTTCAGTATTCATTTTTTTCAATACCGACTTATCGCCATAGGTAGCTTAGGTTTTGTTAATTGAGTGCCCAGAAGGAGCAGGTTGAAATAGTTAGGATTTTGTATGCGAGAAGAGGTTAGAAGGATTGAACTGTAGTACTTCCGATTGTCAAATTAAGTGCAGAATTCAAACAGTGAATTATGTGTAGCAACTTAACTTCTCAATCTGACTGGTCGTACTTCGCCCATATTGCCGCTAGAGCACGATCCAAATCCCGAATCGTCAGTCTTGAGCGGAATTTGACCTTGTGGGCCACACTACTCCAAAAAGGAGTCCAACAGGATTGATACGCGACTTGATTATGCGAGTCCGCTTTTATAGCCGATGGCTATCCCTTTTCCGAAGATGATATTTGTAGCGGATCCATGAAGTTTGATAGTAAGACTTTGCCCGCATCAAAGTTGCTCTCGTGAATCCCGTAGAGAAGATGCTAATCGCTGAAAGGAACGTGGTGGAGAAAGTGAAAGGCCGGTATTATGCCTCGTCATGCCCCATCATATCTTCAGCGCTCTCTAAATAAGATCAGCTGGGCTATTTGGGGTGGGTTTTGAGTGTGCATTATACCGGTTGGAGAGGGATCTCCGGGTCTGGTAGGAGGGAAATCCGCCTAATGGGTTTGGAGAGTTACGTCTCTTATCAACCTCGTCCAGATAATCTGGGAAACAAACTCCGGGCACTTTCATCGTTTCCTTAGTTGCCCAGTTTTCTCTAGTTTCATCTCTTCCTCACGGGAGCAGATGCTTCGTCCAAGATCATCGTTCGGCTTAGCGAAGGGAATGGTGGTTTGGCCGATCGGTCGGCAGATGGATCTGCATAGAAACTGCGTGGTTTCTGTCATTTCGAAGTATAAATAAATAACGACGAGAAGAAAGAAAAAAAGAAAGAAGGAAATGATGTGATGAGGTTGAGATAAAATTTGAAAACTACGAAGTAGCAAAAAGCACAAGAGGGTGGTTCTTGAGAGGGCACACCTGAGCGAGAAAGGCTAGTCCAAATGCGTCCTTGTAGCCACAAGACACGAAACCGCGAACTGGCGCATGGTGCAAGGTACGGCACTCAACATAGCACGGCGGGGCGAATTCATCTTGTCCAAGAACAATATTACCAAGGCTTCCGATGCCACTACAGTGGCTAAAACGGGAGACGAGATAAAGGCAGTTGGCCATAATTAAGCAAGAGAGAGGCAAGATTCCGTTGAACCTATCGCTAGTTCTAAATAATATTATAAAACAGAACCAGGCAGCCCAAGTACCAATAAAAACCAACGCTGTATTTTAGGCATACATAAGCGAATCCCACACTGGCTAGAGCGACATTGCCCAACCGAAAGCGACATTACATGATCGCTAGGTGAAGTCGGTCTCGGAGATCCTCCAGGTCGCCATCAACACGTAGTTCCAGAGCTCGAAGAATGGGCTTCAATGCATCAACTAGCAAGTAATTAGTTGTCAAGGTACCAATAGTAGGCGAAAGTGGTCAAAAGACAAACCATCCATCTGACATAGAGCTTTGCAGGTTTGAGGAAAGTTCGGTATGGCAGTCCCAGTATGGATGCTGTAGAGAGGCAATAGAGTGGTACCAGGATCCACGATTCTTGCAGCATTCTTTCTTTTCTTGATTATATCGTTTTCGAATCTGTGAAGAGGAGTGTCAGCTGTATAGGAGAGATGAGTAAGGACCATGCAAACCTAGTCTCTGAACGCGTCATTCGGCTGTTGATCTGATGGACGCTTTTAGATAGATAGAGAAGGTCGTTTTGTATTGTAGTCATCCATCTAGCAAATTTGGAGTCTTGCTCGCTAAACTTCTGGGCGAGTTGTTCGTCGATGAACAACTTCGTACGGACTTCGTGTTGGGCGAGTCGCTGGTCGAGTCGCTGGTCGAGTCGCTCCTCCATGCGGACTTCATGTTGGGCAAGATGCTCTTTGAGTTGTTTGTCGATGAACAACTTCGTACGGACTTCATGTTGGGCAAGATGCTCGTTGAGTTGCTCGGTAATGACGGACTTGGTACGGACTTCTAGCTGGGCGACTTGCTCTGTCATGAACGACTTGGTACGGACTTCTAGATGGGCGACTTGCTCTGTCATGAACGACTTGGTACGGACTTCTAGCTGGGCGATTTGCTCTGTCATGAACGACTTGAAGTCGTCGACCGAAATGACCACGACACTATCGGCGGATCCAGACATTTTTCCTACAATTCAGAGGTTAGTGTGAGAATAGCGACGATATGATGAAGAAATGGAGATGGTGACAAATGGAGAAAAGTACTTCGAAGTGATGAAAGACAACTTACAGATGTTGATTAGAGAGAGAATCTGAGAGGCTATGTTGACGTGACACGACTTGGTAGCGATGTAATCAAAAACTCTGGACAATGGTGAGGCGAGAAAAAAAACTGAGAGGCGGAGGCGGGCGGATTGATGATTTCTATTGATGGTAGCGAAGAACCGCATATGATGACAATGATAGCAAGAGGAAGAAAAGAGTCCAAAACGTAAAGGCCAAAGAGGAGGATTAAATACTCCAGCTAAAACAAAAGGAAGCCTGGTGTTAATAAAGCTTTCCTATTGCAGAAATGGAAGTCAGCACAGAGGATTCACCTCAAGGAGAAGGAAAACCCACTATTCGATTTTCTAGTGCAGAAGCTCTGCCCCGAATAGAAGGAAGCCTGGTATCAGAAAAGCTTTTCTGGTGCAGAAAGGGAAGTCAGCATAGAATATTTGCCTTGAGGAGAAGGAAAACTTACCATTTAACTTTCTATGCAGAAGCAATCCCTCAAAGAGAAGGAAACCTGATGCCATTTAATTTTCTCTGGTGCAAGGACGACGAATATGCTTAGGTTCGTACCAGCTAGAGAGAATTACTTTGGGAGTCTTTTCGTGAAATGAAATCAGTTTCATCCCGAGCATTCAGAACGCATGAAGTAAGGGATTGCCGTACTGGCAAATCGGAAAAGTAGAAGATGGTTGAATGTGACTGGGAAAACATGGACAAAACCCAACGAGACAACTGAGTAACCCATCAACGGTATATAGCGATCGGCGCTGATGGGGGGGTATTCAGGTCTGCAGGTTGAGCTGCAAACCTGGGATTTTTTAGCTCCATGAGGAGGAAAAATCCACCCAAGGGGTTGAGAGAGTTGCGTCTCCTACCGATCTCATCCAGATGATCTGGGAGGAAAGTCCTGAGAGTTTATTTTCGTTCCTTATGTTATTTCCTGTCCTTTGTATTCATTGTCTTCTTTCCCTAGGAGCGTAGGCTTAACCGTCCATTTCGATCTGTTCAGATGGAAGTTCCTGTATAACGATGCGAGAAGCTAACCGGCTGTTGAGAGAAATCGGACTTTTGAAGGGTTGAATACAACATGCCTCCTAAAAAGCGGAAAAGAAAAAAAAATTCAGCAAAGTCAAAATAATATTAAGGAAAGTAAAACCGCCAAAGGCATAAAAAAATAATAGTCCTCAGAGTCTGCTGTTGAAGATGTTGTCTCTGAGTTCTATTGTTGTCCCGGTATTTATTTTACCCACGCCTAGTTTTAAAATCATGGCTCGATGGGCAGATGCCCTGCAGTGACTTGCACGTGAAAGTGACAACTCTTTTTTTGCATGTGGGGCTGTTCACAGCAATCGGGTTCACATTGATGATGCAATAGAGTCTCGGTCTTGGGCACCCGTCTTTCACCTGCAGTCATTTCGTAAGCCATCTCAAAAGAGAACTTCTGGCTTCTTTGGTTCAGTGTTCTCAACCATTCATTACTCCGTCACAAACGTTCAGATAGCCCTATCAGCGCGCAAGTAGAATCTCATAAAAGCTCCCGATTTTTTATATCTTCTAGTCACTTGTGTGTTTCGATTCCTGCAATGCTGCACTTGAAACCATCATTCGCGTGTGGGAGAGGGTCTCCTGAGGTCGTCATCCGACGTCACTTAGCTACGTGAGGATGAGAAGCGTCTAACCAGTGATTTCCACCCTGACAATGTGGGAAAGATGAAGACGCTGTTCCGCTGAAACCGCCTCAATGTCCTCATAAACAGAGTAGAGCTTGATGATGCATAATTGGGAAAACCCTACCGTAACGCTACGTAACGATGGGGCAAACGCAGTGGATTTCGGTGAGATTATAGGAAAATAACTATGGTGCATGGCAATCTTATCCCAACGCTGTCTATTAAAAATTGACTCACATGTCTTTTCTCATCGAAAGGCGTTGGCAGCGCTTACACCTATGACTGCAGGGCCATCATATAGATAAAGGACAAGAAGTCCGCAACCTCTACTGTCTGCTTATGACGTCTTAAAGTCACTATATACGGGAAACATGCGGCAGAATCTTTATGAGGCAGATATTTGATTTCGTATGTATTCAAAATGATAAATAAAAAAATATTTCCTCCCAGTTGTGGGACTTCAATAATAAATGACCGTGGCAGGGGTCGAACCTGCGATCTTTTGCGAACAATCGAGTTTTTCGGATGTAAGGCAAACGCGTTAGACCACTACGCTACACGGTCCTGCTTGTTGATTTACGGCCAGTATTTACTAACTATAATCCACAGCCCATCTAGTCCCAACAGATCCACAGTACGAGCCAACATTAGGCGGACAAAACAGATAAAGCTCCGAGGTTGGACTATTTAAAGCAGAATACTTCCCCAGTCTGCTCACAAGTGCATATACTTTTTTCGATTCCCAGATTATAGATTCCCATGGCCCGCAACAGATTGTGGGGACAAATCGGCGGAATATAGCTTTAGCCAATGTGGATTATGATCTTTCAACTTATATCATCGAGAAGCCTACTCCTTTTCCAGAGCATTCTACCACAATTTTATGTTAGTGAGCGAGTAACTTACTATCACAAATCCAAAGAGACCTATACATAAGCATATCCACTTTACATAGGAATAGATAACTCAGATTCAGTTCAAAAAGCGTCCATAACAGAGCCAAATCGCCGAAATAGTAATAAAGGCATTATACTTGTCAAAGGAGAACCAGAGCTTTAGGGTAGGCGCATTCGTCATGATCAACATCTCAGGTAAGGTAGAGAGCTACCTTGCCCCACAGTTGACAGACAGTACGTACCGCCCGCACCTCAGATGGGACTTGGAGCAGCAAGGTGGGTGAACTGACGTCGAAAGCTGAGACGCAGGGATTTCGACGTTCAAACAAACAGCTCTCCCCACCTCCCGTCCATACAACCACAATCATGGCACTCCCACGAGCCAATGCGCAAGCAAGGCAATACCTGCGCCTTCTTTCGTCCGAAAGGTATACTATATCCCCCTTGGGAGCTTCAATCACGGCTCCCCCCCACCCAAGGAATAGCATAAGTCTGGTCATAAACGGGCAACGAATTGGCTAACGGTTCTTCTATTACAGATCAGCTTTCCACACCGTTTCCCACCACCAGTTGGCTCCCCTAGCCTTCTTCATCCCATTGTCGCGAAGTGCCAATCAGTCGGCCGTCCGGGCTTTCTCCTCCTCCCTCCACCTCTACAAGAAGCGCAAAATCGCTGTGCCCACCAACAGCCCCAAACACAAGGACGCTTCCTCGAGCTCTCCGTCCAATGAAGCTCCCTCCCACTCCTCAGCCAAGGGGCCCCAGCCCAATCCCGAAGATCCTCTGAACTTCGACTCTGTGGTAGCCGCCTACGCTCCCATCGATACTCACTTCAAGGCCCAGCTCGCTGGCATGGCACACGGTGGCCGCTTTAACCCCACCAACCTAGGCGCTCTGCCCGTGTCTGTCAAAGAGCAAGGCAGTGAAACCGCTGCCACGTTCCCCCTTCGCGAACTCGCACAAGTTGTCCCCCGCTCCGGGCGGACTATCTCGCTGCTGGTCCACGAGAAGGAGTACATCAAGCCAATCATGAGCGCCGTGCAGGCAAGCAAGGAGTTCAACCAGCAGCCCCAGCGCTCCGAAGACAACGATCTTGAGCTGCTCCTCAAGATCGAACTGGAACGCAAGGACGAGGCTACACGCCGTGTCAAGGAGACGATGCAGGCGTACCGCGAGCGCATCCGCCAGGTGAGATCACGACACGAAAAGGTGATCAAGGACTGGAAGAAGAATGGTGATGTGCTCCCCGATGTGGCAAAGCGAGCCGAGAAGGAGCTGCAAAAGGTGCAAGACAAGAAGATGAAGGAGATTGACCAAGAGGAGGCACAGATTATTCGCCAATTGTAACCTTTCTTAGCCCAGATCTATAGCGTTGTACGAAGACGAGAAACCTGCACGATGATTTCACGAAAGAAAAGGGAAAAGGTGTGCAGGACAGGAATTTTTGCATCATGAACACATCATGAACATTGTATATAGTATATTACACGTCGTGACGAAAAAAGTTATACACAGATCTTTTCCTCTCTAGATCCATCATCTCTCAAAAAAAAGAAAATCCCTACGCCTTTGCCTTTTGTTTTCCCGCGGGTTTGCTGCCGGGCTTGGTAGCTTTCTTTGCGAGCAGCGAATTCAACTTGGTCTCAAAGGAGTTGACATCCTTGCTTGTATATGTCTCAGCACGAAGATGCCACGAGCGAGATACGCCAATGGGGTCTACAGCGAACTTGGGCGTCTCATGCTGGCCATGGATGGCCTTGTCCATGATGACCTTGCGGACGGCATCCTCAGAGCCAGTAATGATGGGCGCTGGGGTCTTCTTGGCTTCTCCACCACCCTCGGTCTCAGCAACCTCAGCCTGGTTCTTGCTCTGAAGGAACCCCTCAGCCGCATCCCTGCTCTGGGTGTCGGCAAAGAAGCGGAGACCGCCCTGCTCAATCTCGGTCGCAAAGTGGCGAGGTAGGAAAGTCTGGGGGGCACCAACGTGGTCAGCGGTGCCCAAAACGCTGAGATTCTGCAGGACGGTAGCGGTCTTGCTGATCGAGCTGGAGGGCGCGGCGGGAGCAAAGTCCGTGAGAGAATCCACCGTCAGCGACGGGGAGTACTTGGTAGCAACGCCGAAGCGCATGTTGTCGTCGAAAGCTTGCTCGTCGGGATCTAAGCGTGCGAACTCATCACCACGGGTCTTGCGATCCTTTTCCTTGCTCTCGTCCTCGTTCCGGCGTGGTGTTGATCGTCTCGCACCACCTCGTCCTCGACCGCCCCGGCCGCTAAAGCCACCGCGACCTCTAGTAGGGCGACCGCCGCCTCTTGTGGATGAAGGGAAGCGGGGAGAAGAGCCAGAGGGACCGCCAGCGCCGCTGGCACCACCGCCCCGAGGCGTGAAACCACCACGAGGTGTGAAGCCGCCTCGAGCGCCACCTCGAGCACCGCCACGGCCTCGGAGTGATAGTCTGGGCAGGCTCTTCACATCAACGATCCTGGGGGCACCACCGGCACCAGTACCAGCACCGGATTGGGCATTTCCAGCACGAACCGGGCTTCGAGCTCGAGTGAGGGAGTTGATTTCGGTCGTAGCGGCACGAGATCGCTCCCGGAGCGATGGTTTGTTGCCGGGGCCTGTGCCGTCGGCGGCTTGCAATTGAGTCGTAGAGAACTGGCGGATGCAGCTTCGAAGAGCATCCGAGGCCTGCTCGAGCTCAGGCCTTGTCCGGCTGCACACCGAACGGAAGGCGTGGCGTTGCATCGTGGGCCAATGTCGGGTGAGGTTGATTTGAGCTAGAGTTGTTAACTTGGCGATATCCAATTTTCTGCCGTTGGGTGGGCGGATGACTAAGCAGATGGGGAGAAACCTCCTCATTCGCTGATTACTTCTTGGAGATGCGTTTTCACGTCGCCCTTCTCGCAGCACAAAGTTTCTCATGAGGCTTATGATGGCTCATGATCAGAATAATATTTACTGTACGTCGTCTTACTGTATTTCTGATCCAAGTATCGCACGCAATCTTTCAGATTTCACAAAAACAAATAACACCCCTGTTTATCTTATTGAGCCGAATAGCCACTTATGTCTCCGAGACCAACGCAATGCAAAATCCACTTGTCGCTGACGTGAATAAAACCAACGCGATCTAATACACTGCATATTCCCCATCCATGTATGAGAGCTGCTTCTGCAGCCTCATAAACCTATGCAACACTCGTACATTGCATGAAACCATGTAAAATCCATCTCAGACCACGGGATGGAGAGGCTGAAGCCAAGCGCTGGCGACCGCAAAGCACGCCGAGAAGGCCATTTCTGACCATCTGGATCATAGACAGCTACGTCTATTCCCTTAAGCAGAGCAGTCGGTATTCATGGGCCATCCCAACACGGTTGTCACCCCGTGGGAAACGATGGGATCAAAGTGAGCGGAATAACCGTGATAACCCGTCGTAATCCTCCCCATGTCCTTCAAAAAGGATCTGCAATTGCCTAGATGTTGTTCCAAACCATAACGTCCGATTTTTCCCGGGTTGCCCTCGGATCAACGGCCGTTTCTCATTCGTATTAAGATGCTCACAGTGAAGTGAGTCGTAAAAAAAAGTGATTCTTCGTCCATGTCCTGGCTGTATGACGATCCACCAGACTTTATACACTCTGAGGCTGAACCATGGCCGGCTGCGAGGAGTTAGCGGCGAAAACTGAAATCACAGAGCCCAATGAAACTTACCGGACTATTAAGCATGTGCTGTCGCTTATTGCGACTCTTTTTGATATGGCTCTTGAGAGCGCTAGAATCTAGAGGCTTGAGTAGTTCGAAGCTGCATAGCAACTCGGCAGACACGGACATGACAGCGCCCCAGTTATCGAACTCGCCACAGTACTGTTATTGTCAGCAAAATTCAGCGCTTTATAAATTATGAATCCCCTGAGGGGAGAGGGGGAGGGGAAAGGAAAGGGAAGGGAACGGCTCACATTTGGCGCACTAAAGACTGTAACCAAAACCCTGTCGTTGAAGAACTCGTACCCATCTTCGACAACCATGTGCGCTCGGCAGATCAAGTCGAAATCGTGGACTGCCAAAAAGTCGGTAATGACCCGTTTGCCAAAGCAATAGCTGACCCCGCGTTCGTTGGCCTCCCAATCCTGCTCCATGTCTGCCGGATCTGACCACAAGAGATCGTTGAGTAGGCCATAGTCGGGCACGTCGGTCGGCCGCGCAATGTTTCGGATATCGTCCATGTGGCTCAGAGCTGGAGAGAGGCCTCCATGAACACAGAAGATTTTACCAGCCACGATAGCCGCGATTGGCAATGTATTGAAGCAATCCACAAAGGTCTTCCAAATCTTGACGTTGCACCTCCGTTTACACTCATCGTAGAACCCGTAAACTCGCGTCACATTGGCACACTCGTGGTTACCACGGAGCAGAAAAAAGTTCTCGGGGAACTTGAGTTTGTAGCAGAGAAGAAGCAGGATAGTTTCGAGAGACTGCTTTCCACGGTCCACGTAATCACCCAGGAAGAGATAGTTAGCCATGGGTGGAAAGCCGCACATCTCAAACATTCGAATAAGATCTGTGTACTGTCCATGGACATCACCCACAATCTTGACCGGCGCATCGAGCTCTAGCAGGGCCGGTTGAGACAAGAACACCTCTCTTGCCCGCTGACAGATTGCCA